GAAGAAATTAAATAATATTTTTTTTTGAAATAATAAAATATTTGATAAAATACTTCAATTGTTGTTATTCAATGAAAATTCACCATAATTTCAATGTTAAAAGATAGAATTATGACAAATTAAATAAACACAATTTCATGAAAAGAATAAAGAAAAATAATAAATAAATCAAGAAGTGGATATATTCAAAAGAAGAATGATAAATGAACAACACTCAACAAACACAATTGAATTATCTCATTTATTTATATAAAATAATGTGAATTATTTATTAATCTTTAAATAATACTTTTATATCCAATTTGAATATTATAATTAAAATAAATTATGTTATTGTGTTAATAGAATTATTCATTATTTTTGAATAAAATTTAAATATAAATATAAATTAAAAGATGTTATAAATAATTTGTACAAACACATTTATTTACACATAACAGTGAAATGAAAATATACAAATAAAAACATCATTTGAAAAAGACAAATAATATGAGGGGGTTATGGTTAATAAACAAAAAGTGAATTAAAAAATTCAGAAATAGTTTGTAATATCATTAAATAATAAACAAAATAAAATAAACGTCATTCGACAAAAACAAAAATAAATATAAATCACTGAACTAATATTTAAATAAATAGGAACTAAAAAATAAATAATGAGTTTACAAGAAGATGAATTAAAACAAAAACAAACCAAATTACTTTTAATTGGAGAATCAGGAAATGGGAAAAGTTCACTTGGTAATTTCATTTTACAGAAGAATGTTTTTGAAGTTAGTGGTAGTACAAAACCAGTTACAAAAGAAGTTGTTAAATGTTTTGGAAAAGGAGATAGAAGTGATGTAGTTGTTATTGATACACCTGGTTTTAATGGTACTGATAATTTTGATAATGAACATATTCAAAATATTGTTAATTGTGTTAGAGTTGAAGGGTTACAAGGGATTATATTAACAATAAATTTTCATAACCATAGATTTACTGATAATATTAAACAAATTATTAAAATTATAAATGATGTTTTTCCAATAAAAGACATTTGGAAACATGTTTGTATTGTTTGGACTGAATGTGAGAATTCTCTTCCACCAAAGAAAATTGAAAAAGGTAAAATTAACAAAGAACAATTCAAAGAAAACATAATTTCATTTATAAACCAAATAAATAAAACAGATAAAGAATTTGATATTCCAATGTATTTTGTAGATTCACAACCAGATGAAGACTATGATAACAGAAGATCAGAAATAGAAATAGAAAGATTAATTGAATGGGGAAGAGGATTAAAATTAGTTGATGAAAAAGAAATTAATAAATTAATCTGTGAATACAAAGAAATTAGAATTGAAGAAAAAAAAGAAAAAGGTAAAATAATAAAAGAAACAGAATATAGTATAACATATGAAATAAATACATACAGAAGAGAAATTAAAATCAAATATAATGGAAAAGAAATAGTAGGTGAATGGAAATTAATTAGTACTAGAACTATAACAGAAAACAAACGTAATACAAATCAATCAGATTGTGTTGTGGTGTAATTGATGAAATGATAATATTAACTCAATATTTGATTATTTGAAATAAATTTGTTACAAATAATAGAA